TCTCTGCCTCAGAAAATGGCTTTCCCTGGGGGACTGTGTGGCAGTGTCGCTAGCTGGGTAGCCCAGTCCGTGGCCTGTTCCACACCACCTTCCCTCTGTGACTCAGGAGAGGATTGGGTCTGTGAGAGCTAGGCTCTAGGAAGTGACAAAACCCCAGGACATCAGAGCAGAGGACCGGCAAGGTGACCTAGCCTTCAAAGTGCATTTGTTAGAACCATAGATGTCTCCTGAGAATTCAGTGGCCACCTGGGTGGGCTGTGAGTGAAGGAAAGCCATGTGGACGGAGGTACGGGTCCCCACCCCCCACGTTATCCACAGCAGCTTTATTTTCATCTGTATTATGTACTGGGCTTCACATAGAATTGACAAGGGGTCCTTGAGAAAGTTTTGAAACCACTGGTCTTATCCAATGCCTTCATTATTCATTTGGAGAAACAGAGGCCTGTAAAGGGAAAAGGGTCACATACCTCACTCCTGGCCCAGGGTCCTGAGTGGGAGGTGACCCATACAGAGCCTTGAGCTAAACCAGGGGGGCAGACGAGGGGCACCCCTGGGACGAGGAGTGGGCTCAGCTCCGTGGAGTGGGGATGACGACAGTCCTGAGTTCCCCAGGTCTGAACCTAGAGACCACCTACAGCCACTGGCTGTCCTTGAACACCAGTGCGTGGAGCCCTCTCCTGGTATTGTAGCCTAGAAAACAGCACTGCCCTGGCCAGCAGAGCCTTGGGTGCCCACCTCCCACAACCAGTAGAGGCTAGAACGGCCTCTAGGCACTTCTGCAATGGGAAGGCCATCTCTGTGCACCTGAGCTGCTCTTGCCAAGGCTCCCACACCCTCAGAGATGGGGCAGTTGCATGGCCCAGAGATGACCCATCCTGGAGCAAGCCCACAGTTACTGCCACCCCCTACCTCCAGGCCTACAGGCGAATGATCGGCATCAGACGCATCGGCCAGAAAACTGTCCCACCTCGGATAGTACTCAGGCCCATACTCCTACACAGGCTTACTGCTCACAAGAAGCCAACACACTCTCTCCCGCAGCGTGGTGGCCTAGGGTTCCCTCCCACCTCCGTCAGCACCGGCTGGAAGAATCCCCAGTGCCAAGTCTTCTGCTGAGCCCTGGTGCCTCTCCCGAGGCCCTCCCCGTGGGCATAAGAAGGAAGTGTCTCGGGGCTCCTTCCCAGCCTGGAACAGGGGCAGGCCTGCTTCAGACTCTGGCTCAGAAGCTGATTCAGACCGTTCTGGCAAGCCTGCGGGGCACAGACCATCCCCATATGGGGGAGTGAATGACTCCCAGCTCTTGACAACACCGCACACAGTCCTGTCCCCTCCACTTCTTCTGTCTGCCTTTTCTACGGCAGCCACCAGGCTTTCTGCAAGCCTGTCCACTGGGCCTGATGAGTGCCCAGGAGCTCCGGGGGCTGTCCACAGTGTCGCCCAGATGTTTTCTGGACCCTTTGATTCCTGTGGTCATTCTCAGACTTGTAGATGTCCATGCCCCTCATTCCAAATAGATCCTGAGCTCCTTGAGGGCCAGGGACAGAATCTTGGTGAACTCTGGAACCCCTTCACCAAGGATAGGCCCTGATACAGAGGAAGTGCCCGGTAAGTGTTCACGAAGGAACCGAGGAGCACACTCTTAGGGCCACCAGGGCTGAAGAGGCTCAACAAGGGGGTCCGATCCCTCACGCCCGCCTAGCCTCCGTTCATCTCTTCCACGTGTGTGGGAACTGTGTTGTGCGTTCTAACCAGTTGAAATTTAAGGTCAGTATCTTCCACCCGGTTAGCTAATGCGCCTTAGGAGGCAACTGGAGCAAATACCCGCTCATTTTAAAAAATTACTTCTTTTCTGATAGGCCAAGTAGATGGGCCTCCAAGTTCCTCCCGCGTGAGAAGGAAGGGAGCAGAAGAGGGGTGTGAGCCCTACGGTGTGCTTGCAGGTCCTGCGCCTGGCGTCTGCGGTGACTGTGTGGTCCCCACGTTCCAGGCTGTTCACACCCTCACAATCTGTCTGCCACACAATCCCCCCACCCGGGCCACAGGCACCCCCTCTTCCCTTGATCCCCCACCATCTTGGCCCCAGTAGCTGTCAAATCCAAACTAGATGAGACCGTGCTTCCAAAGGTGAATCCAGGCCCGGGGCTCAGAGGAAAGTGCTCTCCCCGCCCCCTACCCCGCTTGCCCCCTCCACCCGCCACCCCAGGCTCCTGCCACTTCCATAGAAAGAGACTTAGTAACAGATGGGAATTGGCAGTCAGCATGTTAGGTGGGAAGTGGTGGGACGGTCAGGGGGGCGCCAGGGCAGATGTTCAAGCAGGAGAGTGAGGTGGCCAGAGGTGTGGAAGGTTCTGAGCAGCGTGTAAAGTGGCCACTTCCCTCATACCCGCTGTGCTTCATGAAGGAGGGCAGGAGGCCAGGTCCTGAGCGCCCTGGGATTCAGGACCAGCCATGCTAGTGATCTTGTCCATTCTGGGCTCTAGTCGCAAGAAGGCCCCAGTTAGCTTGAGATGGCTTCACCCGAGCCCTGGAGCCAGCCCACCTGCATGAAAATCTTCCTTCATCTTTCCCTAGCTGTGTGCCGCTGGGCCAGTTCCTTTACCTCTCTGCACCTGTCCTCTTGCCTCTAAAATGGGCAGGTGGAATTACTGTGGGCTCTTTCCCAGACAAACCCTCCCACACCCCCCATTCAGCAGACATTCAATGTATGTTCGTCTCCTTTCCCCATCAGCTACTCTGTCCCAGAAAACCCGCACTGCAAATGGCTTTGTGTTCCGCCCCCTTGGGTCCACCAGAGGAACCAGGCTGACTCCCAGGCAGGGTGAACGTGATGTTCCCTGCAGCCGCTGAGGCTGCTTGGCTCTCACGTCCTGATACTTGTGGACGGCTGTGCCACACACAGTGTGACTTAGCAGCTCTTTGGCTGCATGACCCCTTGGGCCTTATTGTATTCATTGCCCCACTGACCTCGCGCCCTTGGTTCCCGCGCCCCACGGGCAAAGGCTCCGAGGGGGCACAGCACTGCTGGAGGAGAATTCACGCCCACCTTCAGCCTCCCACCCACCCATCTGACGGCTGACCCGGGCCATGCTGGGGGCATCAAGGGAGCCGAAGTCCGGGGAGACTGATACCCACTTGGTTGTGGCCCTGGGAAGCCCATTCTCTGCATTCTCCTGTGCAGACCTCATTTCCTCATCTATAAGATGCTCAAAGGCTGACTGCCATGACCGCTAGGGACTTTCCACCCGAACATTCCTGGATTCTCCAATGGATAAAAAAAGAATTGGAACCCCAGTCCCTACCCTATTCCCCTTGAGAAACCAAGTGAACAACCCACACAAATCCAGATCCCCGAGAGAGGGCTCCTCGCCTTCAAGACGCCTCCTGGCTGAGTGAGATGTGTACAGTAAGGGAGTCTGGTGGACTGGACCCAGCAGGGTGCCGCAGGGTAGGGCACCCAGACCTGTCAGTAGGGCCCCTGCCTCTGCCACCATCAGATGCATGAACGGCCCTGGGAGGGGGTGGCTAATGTCTGCACGGGGGCTGGGAGCTCTGACATGGTCAGGTTCAAGGACTCGTCAATATGGCATGACTCACGGAGAAGTTTCCCCGTCACTGAACCCCACCAGAGGACATGCTACTTTTAGGGTCAAGTCTTTGCTCCAAGCCTTCTGAGAACGGTCTCCCTCGCCACACCAAACAGGAAGAACCTGCTTTTTCCCAGCAGGAGGACAGCCAGCCCCTCGGTTTACCCCAGCCCAGCCCAGCAGGCCTGATTATAGGCACATCGCAACCCTGCCGAAGGCAATAAAAACCCGAATCCATGCTTCATCTCAAAAGTCAGCTTTTTATTATGGAGGGCCAGGGCCCAAGGAGGGGAGGGTGTTGAGCTAAAGCAGCATTGCTCTCTTTCCAGGAAATGTTGCGAGCTGCAGTGAAAGCTCGAGATGTTGCATTTTTTTTTTCAACTCAAGCATGTGTTTTTCAAAAATATCATCCTTCCCCACCCCCCACCCCACCACTAATTTTAGAATCAGATCAAAGCCAAGCTACTGTCCTCTGTTTCTGTTGGGAAAATACTATATTTATTCAAGATGCAGAAGTGGGTCTCTGCAAACCTCCAATTGCTTCAGGAAAACAAATCTGCTTTAGACTATACAGAAACCATGATACAAAATTTATTTCATGCTAGAATTGCTTTGCATCACATTGGGCATGCAGTTTTTTACTCTGAAGTACTAAATTGCATACAATGCCAGGTTGTGCCTTAATAAAGGTGGAGGGGGGCCACCCCTCCCGTGGTCCTGATTTTGGTGTTCTAAGGTAACACTCGGAAGATCCACATGGTGTTGATTATTTACTATGAACAACTTGTTATGGGAGCTGGTCACACTGGGTCTACACACCAAGAAGATGATAGAATCAACCTAGACTATCCGCTGTCAGGGGTCTTGGGGAGACGTCCGCTGGGTCACAAGCATGCCAGACAGAGAGGGAAGAAAGCAGCAGTGCACGTTTCCACAATTCTACTTGGAGCAAAGTTCTCGGTTTCCGCGTGAGAGATGAACTATGAAGGTGAGGTCAATATGACCGATGACTGACCGACTGCCCTTTTGGGAACCTTGACTCTCGAGCTCGTGTACAAAAAGGGAAGCCATTCATCCATTCCCAGTCCCCACCCCTACCCCCGGCCCCCAGAAACGTACAGGTTTCTACCAAACGCTGATACAGTCTGGTTCCAGCAACGTGTGTCAAAGTAAAGAGCTTGGAAAGAAAATAGAGGACTTTTTGCTTTTTTTTTCTTGTTGTTGTAGTTGTTTGGGGTGATCATGACAGTTGCAGGAGGGTTGGTGGGTTTGGTTTGCTGGGTTTTCTGTTTAACTTCATGCAAGTCATGCTAAGGAACCCCTCCACCCCCCGCCCCGAATAAAATAAAATGTAAAAAAAAAAAAAAGAAAAAAAAGAAAAAAGAAAAAGAAAGAAAAGGAAAGGAAAGAAAAAGAAAAGGAAAAGAAGGAAAAGAAATCCTCTACGGTCAGTTACCATTTGACCGTAGAAAAAGCTACGTCCGTCCTAGTACAAGACCTGGGCCACTCGGACTCGTCCGGCAAACCTGCATTGGCGTGAATTTACTCTGTCCGAGGGTGAGGAGGGGCTGCTGGTCCACCCAGATGCTTAATAGCCACCAGTGTCCTCGGCCAAGCCGCCTGGTCAAGTCACTCTCACAGCCTCTGTCGGCATATACTTAGCAATGACAGGGCTTTCTTTGCAAAGATCTGTATGTAAAGAATACAATTAACACTTGAGCTTCTCTTCTCGGCTTTCCCATCCCGCTTGGTACTTAGTTTTTAAGGAAGGAGGAGGAAAAACAGAGCAGACGCATGCAGAGGCAGGCAGATTCTTCTCCAGCTGGCTTGGTTTTCCCATGCAGTGAGCCGGCCCAGCGCGCCTCTCTTTCTCCCTCCTGGGGACCATGTCGGGTCCCTAACTTCCCTACTCTGCACGTGGCTTAGGCACTGCGATTCTCCGGAGAGAAGCAAGTCCTCAGCGCTGTCACGACTCCGTGAGAACAGGGCCGGGTGGATGTGGGTGGGGGCACTTCACCCTCGGTGCCTCCCAGAGACTCTGGCACCCCTGCTTCTGTGGGACTGGGGAGCGGGTCCCACCTGTGGACAGTGGCTGCCGCTGGGCTCCCTTGGCCACTACAGGGAGGTGGGGCTTCTTCTGTCCCACTCTCCCGGGGCTTCTGGAAGCACAGCGAAGAGACTCTCCTGTCCGCTCTTTTAGGCCACCCAGATTGAGCCACCATTCAAGGTGAAGGAGACAGGCTGCCCAGGAGACCTTACCGGGCAGAGCACAGCTACAAAGCCTCCCTGTTTTCCCCCTCCCTCCCTCTGGCCGCCCCTGCTTCTTGGATTCTAGAGCGTCCCCCCAGGAAAAAGCCAATTGAGCAGGGGAGCATCGGGCCTATCCATGGAAGGTGCCTGGGATGGGCCCGCCCCATGCCCGCAGCCCTCCCCCATGCAGCGCCATGCGGGCGGCTGTATAGGCTGCACTGGCGTCCGAGGGACCTCCAGGCAGGTCAAGGAAGCGGGGGCCAGCCTGGATCTGGTGGGCCCACTAAGCACCAGTGACCAGAAGGACTTCCCCATCTCAGTGTAGGCTGCCTCTCCTCTCCTGGGTTTGGGTTTGCCCTGGACTTTGAATTCTGTGTTTTCTCCTGGTGCATTGTTGAACCACTTCAAATACTGGAGCAGTTGTGAATGGCCACAGGCTAATCAACTCTTGCTCTAGAAAAACCCACGATCTCTCCCGCCCAGCCTGCCCACTCCAGTCAGCATGCACCCCGAGTGAGCCCGCGAGGCACTCCCAGGCATGCATGAGCTGCCCCGCCAGTCCAACAGGCCCAGGATGGCTTCCTCTGCCTTTCAGGCCAATGCCCGAAGCCTGGAGCTAGGGTGCTCTGGGCCCCCGCCTCAAGCTTCTCTCTAGCCCAAGCTCAAGCTCTAGTAGAAGTCTCCCCCTGCTGCCCCCGCCACCCTGCCTTGCTTGGGGGCAGCCTCAGTTAAGGGTCTGATACAAGGAGACCTTGAACGGAGGTCACCGTGGGGCTCAACCTTCACCAACCACAAGGGGGCGCTAACCACACCCGGGGAAATGACCAAGGATGGAAGGTGGGGCACAGAGTCCTGCTTAACCTTCACTCCAGGAGTTCTCTAACTGACATGGGCGATGTTCTGACTAGCACACATCTTACCTCTGCAGTGACACTGGCCTCACCTCAAGCCCTGAGGCCACCTCTGTCTTCATGTCTCCCCGCCCACTGACCTACAGATTCTCTTCTGTGCTTCTTCAAAGGGTGCTCTTCCAGAACATGGACCTTGGGTGGCTAAGCCCACAGGGTCCTGGCCAGGCCTGGCCGACCCTGTTGCCAAGGGACAGGGGAGCTCACTTGGCATTCTTGGTCTCACCTGCTATCTCCCAGAGCAGCTTGGAGGAGTCCAGGCTCCTCTCATATCCCCAGGTGACACCCTACCTGAAGGTCACAGCCCCGTGGTCATCCAGCCTGTCCCCAAGCCCCTTCCTACCCCTCAGCTCAGTTCCATCCCCAGCTGCGGGGACCTCAAGTGCTCTCTGCCAGCCTGACATCCCACTTGGGAGAAAGGGACTCGGACCTCCAGAGACCAACCCTGGGAGGGCTCCTTCTGCTCCTTGCCCCCACCCTGCGTGCCTGCCTGCCCCTCAGCACCCCTCCCCCGCTGCCCACCCGCCCACCTGCAGGAACGCAAGGCGGCCCAGCTGATGCAGAGTGCCCCCGCCTCCCCTACATACCCTTTCTCATTCCTCCACCAGGTGGGCACGCGTACTCCCCGGTTGATAAGAGGAAGCAGGGTCCGTATCTCTCGCGGGTGCCCGAGCGAGTAAAGGGCAGGCCCTCATCAGGAGTGAGGGCCTGGTCTATGTGGGGGCAGTCTTCGTTCGCCAGCGCGGCCTTCGCCACCTCCCCATTCAGTTTGGAATCTTCAAACATATAAGCAGAAGCTATTGAGACACTGAAAACTGTTTAGTGGGGGAGGGGGACAGGCCAGAGGTGGGGCATTAGCAAAGGGCAGCCTGTCCCTGAGGACAGAAGAGCGAGTGGGCCATGGAGAGGGGCACGAGGCTATGGGTTCCCGGCTCATTCGGGCAGCCTGTGAGCTGCCCACAGTGCAGGGAAGGAGGGGCTCCTGGGTTTGCTCAAAGTTTGCAAAAAGATGAGTTGGTGATGGGTCCAGCAAGCGCAGTGCTGGGGGCCGAGCCCAGGGCCCAAGACAGGACCGATGAGACAGGGTGGTGTGGATGCGGTCATGGGTAGGGGGCCAGACACAGAGCTCAGGGAGAAGACAAACAGACACTCAGAAAAACTCCAGTCCAGAGAGGTGGCCTTTTCAGACCTCTTTCTCTTGCTGACCAGAACCTGGCTGCTGCCCACCCACATCTAGCAGTTCCTCAAGGCTGCCCTAGCCCCATCCAGACCCCATATCTCAACTCTACCCCTCACTGGGATCCCACCTCATCACACACTCCACACTGTCCTCCACACACACCCTATCTCATCACTCATCCTGCCTCCCACCCATTTGGATTCAACCTGGTCACTCTGTATGTCCCACCCCCCACACAGACCAGGCCTGGTCACACAGTCTTCTCTGTCCCCACACAGACTCACCCTGGTCACTCTGCTTGTCTCCCACCCCAGACAAGGCCTGGTCACTGAGCCTCCTCTGTCCCCACACAGACTTACCCTGGTCACCCTGAATGTCCCACCCCCCACACAGACCAGGCCTGGTCACTGAGCCTCCTCTGTCCCCACACAGACTCACCCTCGTCACTCTGTATGTCCCACACCACACACACAGACCAGGCCTGGTCACACAGTCTCCTCTGTCCCCACGCAGACTCACCCTCGTCACTCTGTATGTCCCACCCCCCACACAGACCAGGCCTGGGTCACACAGTCTTCTCTGTCCCCACATAGACCCAATTCAACCATTGAATCTGCTCCATCCCCCACGCAGACTTAAGCTAGTCACTCCACCTGCTCTAATCCCCCACCCTGATCCCGCCAGCGCCCGCCATCCCGTTCTGCCCGCAGCGGGCCTGGTCAGCTTGCAAAGGCACAACAGGGATGTATGCATGAGGCAGTGACAGCGGGCCATGATTCGGGAGGACCTCCCATTCCTCTGCCTCCTCGCAGCAGTGTCCCGGCAAAGCAGAGCAGATGGACGTGTAAAGACAACAGTGGCGGATGGACTCGGGTGGGTAAAGAGGAGTCTTGGCCTCTGGGACAGCCTGAGAAGGAAGCTGGGAAGAGGTCTGAGGAGACATTCGGTGGGGGGTGGGGGGGGGCAAAGTGTGGCCGGAGCAAGCAGCTCTCCCTCTCCCAAGTCCAGGAGCAGAGCTGTGGAAGCCTCTGGAGCTGGCAGAGGTGGCTCTGTCTGGCCTCAGCTCCCGCCCATCACTCCTGGGGACTGAGCCTGCCCCCTGTTCTCTGCCCTCAAGGCAGAATCTTCCAGGCCAGGGGGGAGCAACTCAGTCTCCACGGTGGGCAACATAACTCCCTCAAAGACTTCATCTGGGGGGAGAGCCTCAACGGAAGGCACCACCAACATGGGTATGAACACAAGAGGGGGCTCTCTGAAAGACTAAAGGGGGACCCTCCTCCACGACCCTGTTCACATCATGTAACTACACGCACGAGTGATCCTTCTCCACGTGCACACACTCAGCGTGCCCGTGGGCGGGATCACGGCCCGTGTACACATCATGTCACTACAAAGAGGCAGTCAGTCAAAAGAGAAATGGACCAATCAGGTTTATTCGTAAAGCAAATCCAAAAAAAAAATCCCATCATAATTTTGGAACTTAAAAAAAAAGTCTGTCGTACAAGATGGCAAAGCATTTCACGTACAGTGCGTTTTTTGACAAATCCCAGGGGCTTCACTCCCCGATTTATTCTGAACCAGAAAGGCCAGTTACCAAGGTAACTCTGACACCACGTGACTGGGGCCTCTCTGGGGTCTGGGAGCTGCCTAGCGCTTGGGGCGTGTCTGTGGGCACACACGTGTGCACACAGACAAGCCCCGCCTGCCTCCCTGCCTCCCGGTTCTGGCTGGCCCGTCTTCCCTCCCAGGGGAGGGGCTGAGGGAGGAGGGCAGCGGGGAGAGAGAAGGGAAGAGGTATCAGGGAGGTGAGAGTGGATAGGGGTGCGGGGTTGGGGCCCACAGTACTCCGCACAAATGGTCCTCAAGGGGAAAACAGCGAGTCCTAGCCAACAGCCTCTCCCTCTGGGAGGGGAGCCAGGGTTTGCTGTCTCTCTGGGGGCCATCGTCTGTCGGTGGAGGAATCTACAGCCGGTGGTTCTGGCCCAGGAGTGGGTCAAGGGGTGGTAAAGCTTGACACCCCTCCTTTGGCCCTGAGTGCTGAGCCCCCACTTACCAGCTCTGCCCCTTGGTGCCCTGGCCCTGGAGGAACTGAGCTCCCAGGGCCTTTAAAGGGCCCCGAGTTGGGCTGGTTTCCCCTACTGGGGCTGGCGGCAGGGACAGCCATCAGGCACCTTTCTGTCCCTGGAAAGACTCCAGGTCACGCCTGGGGTCTGCTGCTTCTCTCAAGCACCACCATGCCCTTTGAGAGGAAGCTGTGACTAGGTGGGTGTATTTAGGTCTCGCTCTGCGAAGGAGCCAGCCTCCCAAGGCAGGTGGCTTATTTGCGGTTTGGGCTGCTCTCAGAAACTGGGAGCATTCTCCTTCCCCAAGTCGAGAGGGGTGGCTGGAAGAGAGAGAAACCAAGCAGGGGCCAACTCTCTAAATCTGGGGAACCCGTGAAAATGGCCAGAAGTGCCGGCTCCCCCACACCTCCCCGTCCTCCTGCCCCCACGCTGTCCTTTGGGGGAGAGGGCCACTGGGAGCCTTGGTTCCCACCTGGCCCCCCCACCGAAGACTGCGCACCTGTCCCCGGGCCCCTCGGCCCCCTACCACCCCGCCCGCCTGCAGTGATGGAATGACAGCATGGGCAGCGTCTCACGGAGATGGTTTCCAGGCTTTGAAATGGACTGAGAGAGATGAGCATCTGCAAGAGGGTCATTTTTTTTTAAACTTTGGAGCAAGGAGAACCCGGTGCCTGGGCCCTCAGCCAGCACGGCTGGCTTTTCCGCCCTGCTCTCCGGGCAGCGCCGACTACTTACTGTTCACACCAGCAGTGGGCGCCGGGGGGTGGGGGGGACGCCCGCTGGGCTGGGGCAGGGTGGGGGTGCTGGGCATTTCCTGGGGTTTAGCCCTGAGGGGGTCTCCCCAGCAGGGGGTTCAGGGGAAAAGTCCCAGGCTAAGTGGGGACAGTCTGTGAGAGACACGAGCGGAGTATAATCACGAGAACTGGCACAAGTCATGCGACAAAACGAGAGAGAGAGAGAGAGACATGATTAGTGGAGAGAGAAAGAGAGAAAATGTGAACAACATAGAAAAGAACACCCATGCCTGGCCCTCAGAGCGGGTTCATTTCCCTACTGCTCCCCCCTTGGCCTGCCTAGGGGCCTCGAGGACCCCACTCCGGGCCCCCACTGCCCAGCCCGGCCCTCTAACCCGAGTAACAACTCAGTCGGCCCGTGCGGAGGGCCCCTGCCCACATCCTGTCTTGTCACCTCTGCCCACTCCTGTCACCCTCCCTGCCCCGTGGACTCCCACCACTCCCATCACTCACTGTGGCCCGGCAGGGGAAGGCGGAAGGCCAGGGCCAGGGGTGCTGCACACTCAGCTGCTCAGGGGGGAGCCCCCCTCCAGAGATGACCCAGAGGCTACAGTGTGTGGCTCCTGGGGAGGCCAGGAAGCACTTTCTCTGGGACTTCACAGCTGCCAGCTGCCCTCCCTGCCAGTGGGCAAAAAGTGGGTCTGGCCACCAACCCTCCCCCATGCCAGCACCCTGCTCACCTATGGTAGGACCCCGCAGCCCCAGACGCAGCACCACAAAGGACCAACCCATATCAGAGTAGCAGAGATGAACGAGACACACACTTGAATGGACATGGCAGGACAGAGGGAGCACTCCGAACTGTCCAGAGCAGGTGCTCTAGGACCCCGCCTCTAGATGGGGTGGGAGACCATTTCTGGGAGACGAGCAACTTCTCCTAGACCATCAGACCCAGGCGATCCCTATGTGGGATGCCCTCCTGGCATCCCCACCCCCACGATCCCCACAGGACAAATCCCCCAAACATGGAGGCCATGCCTACCATGATACAGAGGAGACCAGATCACCCCTCACAGACACACAGACCTGAGTCTTCAGGACAGACCAAGAGGTGGAGGTGAGGGAAGGTGTTGTTGACATGACTGGGAGGCCTTGAGTCCTTGGGATCTGGCCCTGGGGAGTTGGGGGTGGTCAGGGGTAGGGGATGCCCCAGAGCCCAGCAGGCTGCATTTAGCCTTAAACCAGATTCTAAAAGCGGAATTGGAAAACCAGATTTTGTTAAGGCCACCCGACTGTCCTTGGGGATGGAGCGAAGCTGGAAAGGCCTTGGGGGCTGTGTCTTACCTCTCTCAATTCTTGTAGGGTCAGGTCTCCACCCATATTTGCCTTCCTCACCTCTGCCCCTCCCCCCACAACTCACAGATGTCCCCACACCCATCTGGGTATGTGGCTACAAGCAGAGAAGGAAGCAAATGGGAAGGGACCCCATGATGCTGAGATGGAGGTCCCTTAAGGACCACACACCTTGGTGACAGATCATCTGGGTCTCACACACCAGCTTTTGGAAGGAGTGTTCTGGTAAGGGAGGAGGCTCAGAGGGGTCTGGGAGCCAAGGTGGACAGGTCTAGACAACAGGACAGCACCTCCAGTGCAAGTGAGCATTTGGAAAGGGAGGGCGGGCAGAGTGTGGGGCTGGGGAGAGAAAGGCAGGATGGCCTGGGCATCTGGGCTCCTGAGGGCAAGCTTGGGAGGCCCCCAAATCCCTCCTCAGCCAAGGACTGACCGAGCCAGGGCTCTCTGGGTCCCTGAGATCTGGGGCCAGGGACCAGGAGGCTCCTGGGAGCAGGGCTGCCATGGCTGGGGGGCCCAGGGGATCCACCACAAGTGAAAGGGCTTCACGGGTCTGCTGCAGCACAGGAAGAGGGCTGTGTCTCTGGGACTAGCTGGTGTGCATGTCAGAACACATCTGCACTTGGTGTATGCACGCACGCGTGCGCGCGCACATGTGTGTGTGTATGTGTGCACCCTCAGCACATGGAGAATACTGGCATTTTCTAGGAGTGCAGAGGAATCTGTGCCTGACTAGAGTGAACTGGGGATCCTTGGTAGGCTGGCCTGGGCACCCAAGCTTGGGGCACTGATCCTGAGGGCCAAGTAGCGCCATAGGGATATCACCCAACTTTGAGCTCTCCCTGCTGGGGCCTGGACTGAAGGTGGGGGCCAGGCCAGCCCAGACCCTCCGCAGAGCCCCAGGAACTTTCCTTGCCATGATGGCGGCTCCTGAAGTCAGACGTCCACCTAATCCAAAGCAGAGAGGCGGGGTGGGAACTTTCCGCTCGCCTGTGCCTCCCCTGCTGAGCAGGAGCCATGCCTTGGCCAGAGGGATGCAGACCTACCTCAGGCCCCCTGTTCCAGCATTGGAGACCCTCGCCCACCCCCGTGGCCTGGCCCATGACACTAACCATGTTCTTCTTGAGTGCCTCGAGGAATCCAGGAAGCAGGGAGGGGTATGGGACCAGAAGAAGGGGCGAGAGAGCCCCCACGGGCAGAGAAGTGGACCTTGGGGGTACTGTGCTAGGCAGCACAGGTGTGGAATGAAGCCAGATCGGGAGCGGGATGGGGTGGCGGGTGCGCGTCAGCAGGGGGCAGGAATGAGGAATCCCTCATCCTCTGGGGGAGGCCACCCACATCCAGGGTTGAGCTCGCCTGCCACACCCAGGCACGGGGACATCCTCCCTAGACTAAATGCTACCTGTCACTCACTCAGCCTCCCTCACCCTGGCACCTCTTAGCTCAGTGTTGCCATTCTTCTCTGGGTCATTCATTTCCTTGAAATCCCTGTGTCCACAGAATAAGTCGATGGTATTCCATGGGTAGAGGTAGACTATGGGCTTTATATCTTCAGACCAGAGCCCCATTATCAACTTTATGTGCTATGTGCAGGTTCTCATAAAACTGAGATAGTCCCATAACAAACCACTAGCCATGGAATATGAGAATATATCCCACGGTGACTAGTATTGTTTCATGGCCCCCCTCCCTCCCCTCCCGGCCCCCCACTGAATTCACGGGAATGTGGCTGGACACTGGTCTGGTTGTCACGTATTGCTGCTGCAGTCCCTACTGCCGGACATGGGGAGGACCCTCGGTGGGAGGTGGCTGCTGGTCTGTAGTGCTTTCGCCTAAAGCTGCCCGGGATGGTGGCCCCCGCTCGTCCTTTGCTCACCAGCCGCTTCCATCAGAAGGCCACCGGAAACTCCCGCTCGACCATCAACCCAAACAGACAACGTGAAAGCTAGAGTCGCTCCAACAGGTTCCTAAAGATAAATGCTAAACTCTAGAGTGGTGGTAGAAGGTGAGTTGGTTCAGCATGCTGTGGGGTAAGTAAGCTTGTTACGGAGGGCTACAGGTGTCCCCGAGGACGCACCTGGAGCTAGGCAGCCGGAATCAGAGCAGGAGTTCTACTCAGCTGTGGAGACAGGCTCTGTTGCGGGGTGAGAATCCTTGCTACTGCCTTTGCAGGGACCCTCCTGCCCGATCCCCTGCACCAGCTGTGCTGTCTACACAGCCTGAAGGGGGCCAAGGGAAGACCAAACCAGAAGCTATCTGGCGTTTCCGAATCACACCCACCCCTGCCCTGCCCCAGCCCTGGGACAGTGGCCTGAGTCAGAGACTCATGCTTGCCTCCTGCCCACCGAGCAGCAGCCCCCTGGGCTCCTGCCAAGAGAGTCCTCAGCAACCTCGCGGGCCATGTCGTCTCTTCTGAACCTCACGAGACCAGGGCGCCAACCTCCTTACCCAGGGCCGCCAGTGAGGTTCCTCCAGCAGGCTCTCGCCTTGTGAATTTGGCTGCCCAGCATCTCCCTGGGCTCCCGGGCTCCACAACTCGAGACTGAGTGCGGGGTCCCGGGTCGCCCACGGAACTAAGGAAGCAGTCTGACTGAATCTGGAATCATCGCTACGGGGGGCGGAGGTGAAAGGTCAGATCGACATGCCTCTAAGAGGTTTCCTACCTGCTCTGTTAATTTCTAAAATTTCTTCCTGGGCCAGCGGGCATGTGTCACTCTGAGTACTGTGGTGTGGAGAGTTTACGACAGATTTACAATAATTGGGAGATCCCAGCTGCGGTGGCCGTGGAATATGCTTCTTTTTTTTCTTTGGTAGTTTCTGCTTAGCCATGGCTAAGGAGTAATACATCCCAAAATTGTTCACGATGACGGGCACAGGCATGGCTATGGTGAGCACGCCCGCCAGAGCACACAGCGCTCCCACCAGCATGCCGGACCACGTCTGCGGGTACATGTCTCCGTAGCCCAGCGTCGTCATGGTGACCACGGCCCACCAGAAGCCGATGGGGATGTTCTTAAAGTGGGTGTGCTCGCTGGCGCTGGGGTCATTGGGCTGTGCCCCTATCCTCTCGGCGTAGTAGATCATGGTGGCGAAGATCAGGACGCCCAGGGCCAGGAAGATGATAAGCAGCAAGAACTCGTTGGTGCTGGCGCGGAGAGTGTGGCCCAGAACCCGCAGGCCCACAAAATGGCGGGTCAGCTTGAAGATGCGCAGGATACGCACGAAGCGGACGACGCGCAGGAAGCCCAGGACGTCCTTGGCGGCCTTCGAAGACAGGCCGCTCAGGCCCACCTCCAGGTAGAAAGGGAGGATGGCCACAAAGTCAATGATGTTGAGCGAGTTCTTGATGAACTCTACCTTGTTGGGGCAGAAGACCACACGCATGAGGAACTCGAAGGTGAACCAGACCACACAGACGCCCTCAATGTAGGTGAGAAAGGCCTCCGTCTCCGCCTCCCGGTAGTAGCGCACTTGCGTGCCGTTCCGAACATTCTCGATCTCTGTCTTGTTCACGATGGGGTTGAAGCGCTCGTGGGTCTCCAGGCAGAAGGTGGTGATGGAGACCAGGATGAAGAAGAGGGAGGCGAAGGCCACATACTGTGGAGGAGAAACACAGGGTCAGAGGGAAGCCCTCCCACCCAGAGCAAAGCAACCTGGGGTACATTGGTGTTGGCTCCAGCCAGAGGCCAGGCCAGGGGAGGATGCCTGCTCACTGCCCCCTCCAACATGGGCCAAATGGACGGGCCACCCTTCCCTCCTCGGAGCACCGAGTTAGGATGCTCAGGGAGGTAAGAAATTGGGGCAGAATTGCTTTGTTTTCACAAATGCCTTTCCTTTCCTCCTGGACACACAGCTCAACTCCATTTGCCAGGCTTCCTTGGGGTGAGGTGGGGTCCCGTGACTGTGTTCACGGTCGGGGGACAGCGCGTGAAAGGGATGTGTGCTAATGACAGGCCAGGCGCTTAGCACCTTTCCTCCCCCAGCTGCCGGTTACATGCTGACGTTCTAGGAGCCAGAAGGGCCACCACAAGGACGTAGCCTCGGTCCCTGAAATAAAAATATCCACTAAGTACCTGAGTGGGAAATCAACTACTGAGGTATTAAGCTGCTGTGATTTGGGGGTGACTTAGTAAAGCACTTAGTCTACACTGACTGATAAAAGTGACTTTGCCTGCTGAGGCTCAAGGTGGCAAAGGAATGAGACAGGGCTGTGATGGTGGAATTGGGCCCCTCAGTGGCCACATGGCCCAGCCCTCCTCTTCCTACCACAGTCCATTCACGCTCTTTTTCAGGAATGTGTATGTCACCAATGTGGTCTCTTTTGGGTTCTCTCAAGTCTAAAACTGCAAAGATAGATATTTGCCCCAGGGCCTTAGACGGCTTTTATGCCCACCCCCACCCCCATTCTCCTAGGAATTCCCACCACCAGCTTGGAGGTGAGCGTCCCATTCTTGGAGGTATTGAAATACAGGCTAAATGCTCATTTGTCAGGGATACTGTTTTGTAGGTCCAGTAGCAGAAGGACAACTGGACTGAGGGTCCTCAAAGGCACCAAAACTATAGGGTCTGCTTCTCTCCTGCTGGGTATGGTAGTGGGTGGAAGCGAGGAAGGAGTTTCTGGAGGGCTGGGGCTTTCTGAACATATGTGGCTGCCCCCTCTTCTCAGACCCCACCAGTGAGAAGGAAATGGTCAGGATGGCCCAGCCTGTCCAGAACCATCTGAGACCCTGGAGAAAGGTTCAGGAGCTCCTTTGGTTTGGTTTGGTGGTCCCATCTGATGACCCCGGGCTTCACTAGCCTCCAGTAGACCTGGGTACCTGAGGAAAGAGAACCAAGGAGCTATCTGTCCTGCTAGACTGAATTCCAGGCAAGGCCTCTTCTTACAGCCTCCAGTTGGGTCCCCTAGAGCTCTAGAAGAACCCCAGCCAGTCAGTTCTCCTCCAGGTGTCCAGTTGGTCATCCTTGCTTGCATGTTCCCATAGCTCCCCTTCCCTCTGGGGCCCCTTCTCCCAGCCTGTGTAAGACAGACAATGTCCCAAGCCAGGCCATCTTCTGGAAGCAGCCAGCCTTGGGCTACAGTCTGGATGGGGTGACCCCTATGTTCTCCCTCTGTGAGCTCCCCTCACAGAGAACTTCAAGGAGGGCCAAGGCCCCACACTGTATCCACAACAAGAAGCAGCCATGCTGCTTCCAGAACAATGTAGTCTTCAGAGATGCACCCCCCACCCCCCGCACCTTGTGGTGGTCATCGGTGTGGGGGCAGCATTGTAAGTCCAAGAACAGCCCTGTCTGGGTTGACCATAGCCATGGGACCTGCCACATAATCTCGCATGGATCTAGAAACCGAGGACCATGTGGACCTTTCAAGGAACATTCTGGTTTGGAGGAAAGGGAGAGGAAAGGGGAAGCGACAAAGACAGCATTTTAGAATGTCAGAGTAAAAGAAGCCTTTAGAGAGTATCTGGTCCAAGACACTACATGCTACAGATGGGAAGTCTGGGGTCCCCCAGACAGGAAGAAGTCTCGGGGCTTTATGCTATGCTCATAGTTCTGTTGGTTTTAGGGCACTGTACACTTTTCAAAAATTTTATCCAGACTACTATCAAGTATGATCCCTGTGAATCCTTCCTTCTATCCATGGATGGATCCCTCCTGGCACTCATCTATCCCTCCTTCTTTCCTTCCTCCCCACTCCCTCCCTCCCTCCCATCCTCCCTTTCATCTTCACATCCATTCCTCCTTCTTTCCTCCTCCCTCCCTCCACTCCTTCCTTTCTTTTTCCTCTCTCCCTTCCCTCCCTCCCCCTTCCCGTCCATCATGCAGGTAATCATTCTTCCCTTCCCTCCTCTCTTTTCCTTCCCTCCTTCTTCCTTTACTCCCTCCTTTCCTTCTTCCCTTTCTTCCTTCCACCTGCCTGCCCATCCATCCATCCATCCATCCAACCATCCATCCTTTCTCCCTTCCACTCTTTACCAGCCACCAGGTTATGGCCAGCAGAGTGGAATAAAGCCTCAGCCTTGGGGAGCTCCCTGCCCAGCAGAGAGTAAAAGACACACGCAAGGACAAGTCCAATGCAGTGGACTGAAAAGAGACTCTCCCTCGGGCCCTGGAAAGCAGGTGGGGTTTGGACAAGGTGGGGCAGGGTAGGGACTAAGCCAGGTCTCCCAACTCCAGAAACAGCTCTCTAAGGGTCTGGATAGGGCAGACCTGGCTCACCCCAGAAGTGGATTAGGAAAGCCAAGTGGCAGCAACTGTGAGCGGCCACCACCTCTGACCCACGTTTATCTAGCTCCAAAGCTCCTGCCGTCACCAAAGTGGCCAAAGCTCCTAGAGCTAAAAATGCCTTCCAAAATGCTGGTTATTTGCCTCCAGGTTTCCTCGCAGGCCCCAGAGGCCCGGTCATCGGGCTTGGCACTCACCGGATCCCAAAGGGCAGGTCCTGCCCCTGCCCTGGGCTTTTTGAGACAGGAGGACATGCACAGCTGAGGAATGTGGAGAGGCGGGGCACCCTGCCTCCCTGAGCTCCCCATCCTAACCAATGACAGGAGGCAGGAGGCACCCCCCTTCACTGCCCCATCAGCCATGGCCTTCTCCTCCCAAGCCCTCCCTCACCTGTCCTCCTCCGTCCCCTCTGCTCACATGTGATCCCCTCTCCGTAGGACCACTACCATCAAAGTCAGCAGGCTTCCGGCTTAGAGTCCAGTCTCCATACAGCTACCAGAGGGAGCGACCCATTGGCATCCCAGCCCTCTGCCCAGGCCACCCGACCATGCTGCCCACAGAGAGGAGCCCTGACACAGGGGACGCTCTGCGCCCGGCCTCCCCGGCCCGAGAGCTCACTCCCTATCCGCACCCAACATTCTCGCCATACACAACTCATTGCCATTTCTGACCCCCTTCTCCGGGTCTCCCAGTCTCTGTGTCTTCATACCTCTAGAAAAACCCATTCATTCCTCAGTGCCCCCACTAAGTAGCCCTACTCCTGGGACCCCTTCTCCAGGTGAGGCTCCTCTTGGAGCTGAAGCCCTAACGAGGCAGCAAATGAAGGGACCCCCCCAAGGACTCTCTAAATTCACCCCCAAGGTGGCAGCAAACCTGTCTCCAACGCCGGCTCATTAGTGCTTGGGAGGCTCATGGGAACAGCCCCAACAGGGCCCTGATGTCCCAGGTGCCTCCGCCGCCCGCAGAGCTCTCACTCCACCTGCCCCTCTCACAGGCCAGTCCTAATGGGAACACCTGAGGCCATGAAAGAGGGTGGGTCTTACACAGTTAGGGTAGGAAAAAGTATTGGTTCTTAGCAATCCATGCAACATCCTGCCTAGATTCTTTCCTCTCTGGGCCCTAGTGCCCAGGGAGTTGGCAGGGGCAGGGGCAGGGTGGCAGTCCAGCCCAGCCCAGAACCCGGCACCAGGACTAGGGAGGAAGCAAGGAAAGTGGCAGCCAGGCCTGCCACCCAACCTCGCCTTCCTGGGCACCCCCCTGCCTGATCTCTGCTGCTGGTAGGCCTGGTCCTCGGCCACAGGCCAAGCCCCAACAATATCCAGGCCCTCAGGAGGGCCCCTAGGAGGGCTGTAGAGACCGGTGCCCCTGGCTCACTCAGACTGCCATATCCTCGTATGCCCAGAGACCAGCAGGCCTGCCACAGCGCACAGCCAAAGGGAGAGCTCACCTCCAGTTGAGTCCCAGCTCCCTTTGGTCCGTCCTCAGAGAACCTGAGCACAGGAAGGAGGGGGCAGAAAGCTTCCAAAGCTAAGGACCCACTCGGCACCATTAGTCCTCTCTCTGACCTAATGAGATAGGGAGTCCTACCCTACTGTGCAAAAAAGGAAACCCAGGTACACAGAGGTCAGCGACTAAACCAAGGGCTCAGACAGAGCTCATGATGAGGCTGAGGCTAGGACCCAAGTTCATCTAGCTCTAGAATCGAACCTACTTCCACCAGCAGAGCTGCCAGCGCACCTGGGTGGTTGGCCCTGTGTTTGGACGCCTCCATCCTAGAGCTTGGCACCCACAGGTCAGACTCCCTGAGGGCAGATTATGCCTATCCCGGTGAAGGAGAGAACTGGGCCACCCGGCCCCCCAATGAATTGTTCTCGGGCCAGCCCAGCTGCCCTAGACTTGCTCGCACCTGGGACAACAGCAGCCCAGGGATAGGGAGGCTGCCCCCAACCTCATTCAGGGAATCACCACCAACAGCAGCCTTGGATGGGCTCGCCCGTGTCCCCACCTAGCCACCTCCTCACACACCCAGAAAAGGGCAGGCTGGGAGATGATCCCAACTTGTTCAAGGCGCTCAGCCAGAGGGACTGGGCAAGTGCGTGGGGATGGGGCATTCTTGTGGGTGGCCGAGCCTGGCAGAGAGCGACGCTGGGAGCCACATCTGCAGCAATCCCGGGTCGACGCTCCCAGGACAGCAGGGGCTGAAGGCAAGGGCAAGGGCCGCACCCTATGTGAGCCGTCTGTGTCCCAGAGACCGCGGACACACACAGCTACCCAGAGCACACCCTTCACCCCTTACCCTAAGCGCATTCGCCGTCCATGCAGCCACACAGTCTACAGCCCAGGGGCCTGACTGCACATCTGGAGATGATACAGGG